GTGTATAAGAGACAGGCAAAGCCCCGGGCTGAGTCCCGGCGAGGGGAGCAAAGCCCGGAGAGCCAACCGAAGCCCACCAGGATCCCCGCTCTGGGCAATGCTTTCAGAGCCACACTGGAAATCATTAGAGTTACTAATTATTAACTCATGCATGCGTGAGCGCACACACACACAGATGTACACACAGACACCCCAACCCCCCGCCCCCCAAATATTCCCAGCACCCGGGACGAGAACAGAGGCGCTCCCACACACACATGTGCTGCACAGGCGGGTCGGGGTGCCCGCAGTCCCCCGTGGGGACGCGTGGGAGGCAGCCCCGAGTGGACACGGGCCCGGCGCCGCGCAGCTCGCCTTTGCCTACCACCCTCGGCCGCCCCGCGGAAGGCGCTCGCCTCTTTCACCAGAGCCCCGAGTTTGGGGGGGCGGGGGGCGAGGTGAGGTGTCCCCCCCTTTCCCCGCAATAGAAACACGGCAGCCACCATACAAACGAGAACTTAAATAAAGTTGCAGCCCCTGCTCCCCTGGCAGACGGTGGCTGGGCTATGGGCTCCGAATAATGCCTACGTGTAAATTTACGTTACTTCGTTAATTAAGGCATTAAAAATATAACTAGTCCGTTTAAAGCACGGGGGAGCCCGGCGTCATCTTAAAGCACAAACAAAGCGAGGGGGAAGCGAGAAATAAAAAGCACTATAAGGCTGGGGTGGCCTCTTACGCATACCAATGGTTTTTGTCATTTATGGCTATGCAAGATTTATGACTTCATGCACCAAAGCTGTAAACAGAGCACTAAAACAGAAAACACTTGCTCCTTATGGCATAAGTGAGAAGGCACCACATGAAAGGGGAAGCGGGCAGCGTAGGAGGAGAGAAGAGGCAAAAATCCCGCGTATGCGTTTTGCTTCAAACAATCCCTTGAATGTTGCATCGGAAGAAAAAAAAAAAAGTCTTTTTAGTCAATAATCAACCCCACACTTTCTTCTGAAACTGCTGATCTGCCGTTCACCCTCTTGCCCGACCAAATAGCGAGAGGCACCGCTGCGCCCCGACGGAGCCCCCCGGACTGGAGCGGAGGATTTGGCAAGGGAGAGAGAGCTGGGGACTGCGGAAACCTGCGGACGCCGGGCAGCCTGCCTCTTCGGGGAGCCCTGCCGAAACCCGGGGCGATCCCTTCCTGGGAGCGTGCTTAAACTTTGGAGCGATCTTCGGCGGGATATTCTGACTCCATGTCTGTATTTAAGAGCTGGGACGGGGAGCGGGGGGAGGGGATCTTTTTAAAACTGAAGGGATTTGCGAGGGACTTTAATCGTGAGAACCGAAGTGGTTCATAGGAATACTCAAGTGTTTCCTCCATTCGTCTTGCTGCCTGCAAAGGGTATTTTGCGAGATTTCGCCTATTAGTCCCCTTTCCCCACGCCCCCTTCTCTCCCTAAAGAGGTCATTTTAAACATGAGAAGATGATTATTTTTTTAAATGTCTCCTATGATGTCGGGATAAGTGTCCCAACGCACAGATCCCCGCTGCTTTTATCTGTCTTTCCCTCCCAGAGGCCGAATATTTTCTTTCTGCTCCACTCCTCGGAGAGCTATAGGGCTCAGCTCGGGGAGGGACCGGCAGCGTTTGGGGCTGATTCCCGGTTCAGAAATGAGCTGGCTTTTCTTCCCGAAGGTTCCCACTCGGTGGGACTCAGTCCCTTTCATGGAATTACTCTTCGTTTCCGAGTAAAATAATGCCTGTAGAGAGCTTTATCCTTCGATGCACTGAAATGGAAGCAGGCAGCACCATAATTCAGGCTGATTGGGGGGGATCTCTTAGGGCTAAAATAGCAAGGCGGGGAGTTGCTGGAGAAGGGGGACCAATTCTGGAAATGGTGCCTGTTCAAGTCGTTAGAGAGTTAGGAGGGGATATTAGCTACCTTAGGGAAGAACTGGACTATCGAAGCAAGCCGTGGTTAATCTGAACTACTGTTTATATTCTCTAACACTAAAGAACGGCAACGGACTCTGCTATTTGCTCAGCAGGCTGAGGTTATTTACACAACTCGCCGATATCCCTCTCTCCTCCTAAACTCTTACTGCTTTCTTTTGCTCTAGAGCAGGACTGTGTTATTTATGAGTGTTCTAACTGGGTCAATATGCATCCTAACTGGGTCATAAATCAGAGGAAATGCTGCCAAGTAATTGAGCTGCAATTAAAGCTTGCACTTTATTTTTGAGGCGCGTTTTGGCCCATTTCAAAAGACGGCAAAGCCAGCCTTGGCTTTTAGACACACAACTGGGAGCAAAACATCTCTCCTCCCCTGGCCGAAGAGAGAGAAACACCAGGTCTAAGAAACGACAACGTGCTTCACTATGGCGAAAAGGGGAAATAGCATTTATTTGGGTCAGTTCTGCTCTGAGAGCGGCTTAAAGAGCAGGAAAGGGAGAAACCAGTCCCAACATCTCTGCCCTGCAGGTCTCTGCAGAACGGCCGCGAATAGCTCCGAGTGGAAATAACCTCGTTTGTTTGTTTGTTTTCAGCGGAGTTTTTATCATCGTTCGCTTTTCTTCCTTTCTCCCTCCCTCCCTTTCTGACCCCTTAGAAGATGAGTAATTGCAGGCACCCGGTAACTGGGCACAAAATGGTACAGCAGGAATAGGCGAGAGACGCAGAGGACACTGGAAGAAAACGAGCCCCAGCTCTCCGACCTTTCCCAAAGCCGGGACACACCGGGGAAATGTCGTTTTATAGGGCATTTTGTCCTCCTTGGACAGCCAAGTAATCTTTCATTTTCTTCGTTTAAAGTGCATTTTTTTGTATCTAGCTACGCACACAGATTTATAACTATATGCAAATACTTACGTATTTATATGTACGGATATATCTGTATTTATGTAAACGACGATATGCATACGAATTTAGGACTAGTATAGGTTCTCCTAGAAGATAATTCCCACTCCTCCCCTTTTTATCCTCGCCTTCCAGATCCCCATTCAGAGCCACAGGGAAAAAAAAAAAAAAAACAAAAAAAAAACACACAAACAACAAACCCACATTTCCAAGGCTGATTTACTGATAGAAGCCTTGGCTGGCTCTTGGTTCAGGTCCTTCTCACAGAGGAGAAATAAAGAGCCCCTCGGCTCGTTTGGGAAGGGGAAGCTTTGCCACAGAGCTGAGCGCCCATACAGCCCTCCGCGCACAGTAAACAAAGTACCACTAAAGCATCATAAATAAAATGGCAGCACGATCGCACGCTCATAGATTTACAGAGCGGCAGCGGCCGAACAAACACCCATAAAACAACAGCCGCCGCCGCCGCCGCACACTCGAGCACGACCCCGACCGAGGAGCATCCCCCCCCATCGTTTTCTTCGACTTCCCCAAATACATAAATAAATAAACAAACACACAAGCACACAAATAAAATAAAATAATAAAACAAAATTAAGTGGGGAAAAAAATCCGAACACGACAGTAAAAGACGCTTCCCATCTCTAGCCGATCATAAATAACGATAAGATGGCAATGGAGGGGCTGGAGCTGAGGCAGCTGGCCATCAACATCAGTGTGGGATCTCTATGGAGAAAAATAAATAAAGAAGCAAACTCTCCCTGCTCTGCTCGCTGCGAGGGGAGAGTTGAATATTTACCGCAGCAAATTGAAACAAAGGGGGAAGCAGCCTGGCTCCGGGTGCACACACACACCCGCACGCACACACACGCACTCACTCCAGCCTTTGCTACTGACCTTTGCCTCGAACAGCAATAACTCACCACATAAATGAACAATCAACGGAAATACCTTAAAATAAAATCCATCCTTTCTAACGAAGCATTTCGTCCTCTCGGCTCGACAATAACCTTTCCATAAGGAATGAAAGCTGTCAGCGAAATGGCCAGCTCTTGTGGGGACGGTGATGGGGGCAGGAGGGAAAAAAAAAAAAAAATAGAAAGCAGTGCTTGCGCTGAACAGAAACTGGAAAAGCGTAATCGCAGACAGAGCCAGACCGGGTCTCCACTCCAAATGCCACAATAATGCGCTGTATTATGTGCTCACGTGGTCATACGTCAACTTAAATCCTTTTATTTGAAATAGGGAATCATTGAAGGAACAGGGTTTCTTCGCGCGAGCCTTTGGTTTTTAAAGCCTTAACCCAGTATGTTAAAGAAGAGTTTTAAGGGAGGAAAAAAAAAATTCACGCGATGGAGATGACTATTTGGGCCGGGGGGGGGAAGATTGTTTTGATTCTTTTTCCTCCCACACCAATATTTCCTTACACAAAGCCCATTGGAAGGTAAAAAAAATTTCTTCTCATAATACGGGATTATGCTGCACTTTGATACTTAGTCTAATTAACTGACATTTGTTCCCCAGGCCCGCCACGCTGCTCAACGTCGCATGTCCTCTGCAATCCCCGAAGAAAGCCCAAATCTTAATACTATTATTTCCAACCCCCTTCTAAACGGGACGATTACCAGCCTTCCCTCCACCCCCAGCCGCCTCTACCCTGCCATTGTACGGGGCTTGCTCAACTCCCACACGCTACATCAGGGCTCCTGTAGAAACTAAAAAGACCTATAATTACCTGACAAAGGCAAAAAAGAGTCTCTTCTAAGAGGCTAGTTGATTTTTGTCCTTCTAACACACTATGAAGAATACACCTTCCTTCACTGGCGTGGCTCTGAATTTTGGAAAACCTTTTGGGACCTTGCTGTTAAACCTGTGCTTACGCATTTCCTATACAGCTAGTTTGAGTGATGCACAAAATTATAGGTTTCTAACGATTAAAAAAAAAAAAAAAAAAAAAAAAAAAAAAAAAAAAA